CTTCTTATCCTTTTTTTTTTTTTTTTAATCCTCTGGGGCTCCTTTTTCCCCTTCTCCTTTCCCTCTTTCCTTCCCCTCCCCCTGCTTCTCCCTCTCCCCTTCTTTCTACTACACCTTTTCTCCTCCTATCTTCCTCGGCGTTCCCCTGCTTTGCTCGCCAGGTCTGAAGAGTCTCCTGCGAGGTCCTGCTGTGTCCTGCTCAGTGCAAGCAGGGAAGCATGCCTCTCTCTTCCTCTCTCACTGGCTGCCCATCGCTCTGTTTATACCCGACTCTCCCCTCAAAAGCACTGCCACGCTTTCTTTCCTCCACTCTCCCTGTTTCTCTTGACTATGTTTGCTTCCTCCTCCTATCTTTGTCTCTGTCTTACTGAAACTGAAAAAAAAAAAAATGGGGGGAAGGCTTCCACCCGACTGTAGTGCAACGGCGGGACAAAGAGAGGGAGAAAGAAGAAGAGGCAAAGCTGTGCAGCCAATGGCACAAGAGGGAGGCAGAAAGAGCGCTGGAGACAAAGAGTGGAAATAGCACAAGAGCATTACAGACAGAAAGATGGGATGGAGAAGTGGGGGAAGACACATGCACACCAACTCATTCACCATCACACACATGCAAACAGAGTGCTCCAGATATAGACCTATGACTACATCAGTTCAAATCCACATGCAGACACGCACACATACATGCAAACATGTGCACGGGCGACCGGGATCGTGCACGCAATCAGACTTGCTGAGTGCTCCAGATATAGCTTCATGACTTCATCGAGGAGCTAACCCCTCCTCCCCCCGTCGTCCCACCCTGTTTAAGAGACAGGGGGACTCATTCATATTGAATCAAGCTGAAGGAGAGAGAAAGAACATTCAGGACGAGACTGGGAATTCTCCTTAGATAGATGGATAAAGAAAGAGACAGCAGATGGAAAGAGAGATGATGGAGAGAGTAGAGAGAAAGGGATCTTCCATGTATGCTTTTAGAAACTGCTTTGGCTGTAGCTTATGTGTTTAATTCTTGTGCCCGCCTTCTCCTTTTTCTCCCGTCTTTCTTAGTCAATTTCAGGCATTTAAAACACAATAAACAAAGACAGCTCTCTTCTTTCTATCACCACCTACCAGCTTCAATCAGTTAACAACATTACCCGTCTGACTTTAAACACACAGACATGCACACACTCATACAAAACTACTTCACCAAGAGTGGACCATCGAGGTACTGGTCATTTTAAAGAAACAAAAATTAATACATTTTCTTTTTATTTATTTATTTTTCCTCCTACAATATAACTGAGGGGTTTGGTGCCAAAGCAGGCCAAACCGCAAAAAGTCCAAAGTTGAGTTTTATGCTCTTTTAATAAGTGTTTATGGTCGACTAGTTCATGGCAGAGTGGTCCAACCAACAGCCCACAATACAACTTTGAAGTTTGGCCAATAATGGTTTTGGCATGAAAATTTAGTGTCAAACTGGGCCAAGCCACAGGAATTGCTGACCATTATATTGTGGGTGCAGGTAGTTGCCTGTGTTTGCGATTCAAGATGGCGGGCAGCGCAACCTTAAGTCCCGTGAAAACTCAACTCGTAGGTACATAAGGTGAAATAAAAACTTAATTAACCACCGCCAAGCATCTGTTTCTACCCCATGGTCCTCAAAAGTATCTCTAGTTCTTTATAATGACCCATGTAAACTCTTCTGTGCTGTTTAACAAACCTCGAATCAGTTTTTTTTCTCAACGAGCAGAAAAGGTGTTATGGTCTGCTTTGGAAGTCAGCAAAAGGAAAGGCAAAATTAAACCTGAAATAAGTCATCACAAAGTAGCTGTTTCAATCTCTGGACAGTGTTGAAATATCTTTGAATGCATATAATGACTCCTCCAACAACCATGATTGTTTTAGCAACACAAAATTTTGACCCCATTTTCCTCTAAAACTCGTAAATGTGGTTTGGCCCACTTTGGCACTAACCCCCTCAACTGCACAAATACATTTGATTTACCTTAAAGAAAGCCAAGAGGGTCATGCACTAAATAATATTAAAGAGTGTGTGGGCACTTAATTAGTGTATGTGGATTACCAAAACAATGGGTATTATTAATATACTGCTATGAGAGTCTTCATTCTACTCTTCCAAATATTAGATGTGTAAAAGTTGGGGTCTGTGCAGGTCAGTCACATTCTTCCATGCTAGAAAAGGAACCATTTATCTTTCTTTTTTTTCTGTTTCTGAAGTTGTTACAGATTTTTTAAAAAGAGAAATAACATTACATAATCAGACCAAGCAGGCCAGATGCTATAAGGAAGGTAACAGCACCACCACCAAGACTGATCTCACAGCATCAGTCCAAGACAAAATAACTACCAACAAATGTAAAAATATTGCAACACAAAAAATATTCCTGACTCAGCTATCAATGTGGGAGTGCACTCATACAACAACCACTTACACTTACATATTAAATAATAGTCTTTCACATTTAATATGCTGCTGTGCAATGAGCCATGTGGATAGAAATGAAGATAAACCCACCTACATATGTGGAAGCAGACAGATTACAACAATAACAAAATGACAATCTCCAAACACAGGTTGCAAAGCTTCTCTTAGTTATCCTTTATACGCATGTTAAATCAAAAGTGCAGATCAGTCCAGCCCCTTTCACCACATGGATCACTATACATTTAACTATGTAAACTTTTTTTCTTTTCTCTTTCTCTGTCATATATATAAGCCACTCTGTACATTCATGTTGGAAGTAGAAAGAACTACGAGGAACAGCTCCAGAGCAGAAGTACACATGGACAGCGGTGTCTACATACTTTGGAGCAGCACTGTATGCTTCTCTGGATGAACAAACTTTGACTACAGTGCACTCTAGTGACAGGACTATGCAATTCCAACCTCTGGCAAAGTAAACTCCTGTCTCAGATACAGACACACACACACACACACACACTCCATCCTGATGTCTACTGTGGGATGCTATAAAACGATTTGCTGCGTACATGGAGGGCGCAATCTGGTTAAAGAGTATCAGATATCCTCTGAGTCACACACACACTCCCAGTCAGGGTAGGATTACGTGGCTCAAAGCTATCCGTGACCTGTGCCTTTTAAACAGAGTGCATCAGGGAAAGTGTTGTTGCCTTCAGGATTGTGTCCTGGTTTTGATTACAAGTATTGACAAACTGGTGAGTGCAATATCAGGCTGTAAACAGTGTATCATGACAAAGCAGTTTGGAGGATTCATGTCATCCACAGAATCCCAACTTTCCACTCTCTCAGCGCCTCACAAGAGTCAAAGTGCCAAACAAAAAAATATAAAAAATATTTTATCCCACACACAATTTATCAGCTAAAACAGTAAGCAGTGAACAGGCCAGTGTCGCTGTGGATCTGGTGTATCAGGAAATAAACTCTTAAACTGGTGTTAAATTTTATCATTAGATTATTTTAATTATTTATTCCTTCCAAGCTTTTCTAAAACTTCTCTTTAATGAAGAGCATTTTTGTATTTATGTTCTATTTTTGTGATGCACGATGACATATGTGATGTGACACTCATGCAAGGTGAAGACAAATTTCTACTTCTGCGTTACAAAGGTGGAAAGTAAACCATGTTCTAATTTTGATCGCAGTACATCCAAAGTCCTGAGTCCAAAACCAGGCAGAGGGAGTGCAGACTGTTGACTGCAGATTTTAAGGCGCTGGTGGGAGGAAGAGGATGGAGAGAGTGGAAGCTGTAATGTCATGAGAGAGAGAAAGAGATGTAGTGAGAGAATAAAGGATAAGGGGGAGAGCCATCCTGGGTCAGCCCTCCCCTCTTCTTTCCACTACACGCTTTATCCATTACCGCCGAGAGAGACAGCCACTGAAAGTTTCTCAATCCTCTGAGACGGGAGAGGGCGGAGGGACTTTCTTTCTTTCTCTCTTTATCTCACTCACACACATACAGCTAATGTTGTGCTAGAGTTGCTGTTGAGGGTACTAAAAAAGGAGAAAGGCAGGAGGGACGGGAAGAGGAGTGGGAGGGTGAGAGGGATGCTGTGTGAGAAAGACTCCAGCAGCACTTAAAACACGAAGGCAGAAATAAGAGATAGACAGAAAGACATCGAGACAGGAAGAGAGAAATAAAATAAAAAAATAAGGTAACAAGCAGGGGCAAGTGAAGTGAGACCGAGCCTTTTACACTGATGCTATTTTAAACTCCATTTTCACCCGATCCCTTAACAGCTGATTACACATGTCAGGACCAGACTGTTCCTTGGACTGCAGCACTTTTCTCATTTGTCCGATTGCTGTGTGACACATAGTGAGTCTCCCACAACTCTCAGCTCTTAGCGGTTTAGCATTTATTATCTCGGAGAGATTTTCACAGGACTTTGACACTACAATAGGGACGTTGTGTTAAGCTTACATCTGAACAAATATGCATTCATATCTCATTCACACTGAAGGTCTTGTTAATGTTTCCAGATGTGTACAGGGTTTGTGTGAGTGTTTGAAGTGGTTGCTCCGTGGGTTAATGGAAACCCTGAGGGGTCCATACCAATGAGGGTTTAGTTTGGCCCCCTCCCCATTAGCAGCAATGCTAGCCTCAGCACACTGTCAGCTCAATAGTAAAAGGTTAAGACCGTGGGACGCTGCCAAATGACTGAAGGGCCCAAAGGTCCTCAGTGTGGAACCGAAACATCGAGCAATAAGAATAATTAGGGTGTTTTGAATCCACTTTGTGCAAATATGGGCTGAATAATAATGAGGCGGATTCCATTCTCTGATGATTTGCTAAAACTCCTGATTCAGCTTCTGACAGCGTGAATGCTACACATGTGTTTTGTAGAATGTTACTGTACAAGGTGTGTTACAGGATGCAAATGTCTGTTTAATCTACATGTTAGTGTGTGTTTGTGTTTCATTTAAATTGTGGAAGAAATACATCCAGAATTGCTAAATCAAATAGATACATTGCAAACCACACCAAAATGGTTTCATAAAGGAAATCTGTAACGTTCTCCTACCTGTCATGGTCTCGGCCAACGCCCCAGACACGGATGCTGCTAATAGGCTGAGAGTGGAGCAAGCTGCGATCGTCTGGGTCAACAAGGGTCAGCATGCGATCCTGAAGCACTAAAAGCATCCCTTTACCCTGCAAGATAGCAAGTAAAGATGCACTGAGGCTGTGGTTCACCAGCTGGAGAGAGGTCGCTAGACGATTTAAGAACATTTATGAAACACAAGTTATATACACTTTTCCAGCTTTTCTCTCTAAATGTTTTTCCTATATGACATAATGGATAGATTCTAGTATCTTTCTGACATTGAATAAACCAATAAAAATTATTTTCTGTTCATCAAAATTACATATTTAGAAGGTTTTTTTTCATGTAAATAATCCTGTCATGCTTTAGATGTAACTCCGTATGTCCTTGAGAATGTGTGGCTCTATGAATAGTCTCCGTCAGCCTGTCCACTGCTCACCTGCAGCTGGAGCACACCAGCTTACCTTCTAATCTTGTAAAATTACACAATCACAACTTGTATTGGAGCAACTGGGCCACATATGTTCAAACCAGAAACGGATTCTGAACAACAGTGAGAAGATCAGATTGTACAGGTTCAGAATGGTGATGTAGTCATTGTCTTTCTCTCTATAACGTTAGTAATGTGAGAGTAGCAGATAACATGAGCCTTCAGCTTGATTACATAACTACACAACTAATAATGTGTTGTAGTGTTAGATACAGGCTTGCAAACAAAACAGGCTCTACTCATTGCCTCCTCCTTCCTATCAGATTTTTCATTCCACTTACACACACTGATGTTTAAAGTGAGATATCTGATCTTGGTTTGGTGGAACTTTTGTATAACTCAAAAAAATAGTCATGCTGTATATTGTATATCACAAGTGCCTGTTGACACACTGACCTCTCCCCAGACGCCGGCTGAGTCCCGTATGTCCCTCCTGCAGTAGGACAGCTGTCTGATGCAGTGGTGGACGGCCACACTGCTCCTCCCCTCACACAGGTCCTGCTCTGCCATCTCCACCCAGCCCAGAGATCGCACTGGAAATGACTGGGAGACACACACACAGTAATTCTAAAGGTTCATAAGGGTACTTCAATCCCTTAAGGATAACGTTTAGGAAATTAATCCATTTTAAATGTAAACTCAGGTCTTTTTTGTCAATTTGTCATTTTGTATAATAACAGTCTACTTGACAGAACGATTGGTGAGACCTGACATTGTAACATTGCAGCAACAAAGCTGGATGGAGCAAGAGGTTCAAGAGCCACATGATCTAAAACAATGTTGTTTAGGGATAGAGCTGGAATTAAATGTATGCTGTGACATCTGCAATAACCAATGGTTGCGCAGGAAAACTGTGTGTTTGCACAACTAAAGCAGGTGTGACAAGTGAAGGATGCCGCTCTGTAAAATGTGATGGATAAGATCAATCTCAAATAGGTTTTACTGATTTGGGGGCAAATTTAAAGCCTGTTTGATCATCCAGCTGTTCATGTTTCTTCCCTTGTTGTTGAATGTCACCACAGATCTTAGCATTCAATGCAGTGAGGACAATATTATTAAAACCGAAAAGAAAGCACGGCATACAAAATATATACACATCCCAAAAAATATAGATTAGTCAAGTAGCAATAAACCATTGTTGTTTTTTAACACTTTACAGTGTGCTTTGTGCTTTAAATTGATTCTGGTTCTGATCCTAATTTTAACCCAGGTAAATGGACATGACATGCACAACACACAAACTGTAACTCAGATGTACAGTAGGTACAGTGCAGTACACAGCAGCAGATACTGTACCATCACGATCCACCAGAGTAGTTTGACATGAGGGGGCAACACATGAAATATGTAATACTGTGTAAGTGCGTGTGTGTCTGTGTATGTGTGTGTACATATGTGTGGCTCTGCTGTGTGCGTGTAGACTGCCTCAGGCCAACAGCTATTACCGTCCTCTCTGCCTTTTCTTTCTCTCTATCTACATCAAGGAGCTCAACACAAGTTCTGTAAAAGGATCAAGCAAACACGCACAGCAACACACACACACACACACACACACACACACACACACACACACACACACTGACCATGATGCTATTCTCTCCTGGTTTTTATTCCTCATTAAACTTTCACACATTCTAAGCTCATAAATGAATCCCCACACATCTCCTCTTTCCTTAGAGGTTTCTGAATATCTCATGCTTTTGTTTCACTGGAATTTTAATTCTTAAGAGTAGTTTTCAGCTCTTTGTGATTTAACTGTATACTTCTTTAACAAATTAAAAAAAACACAAAAAAAGAAAATGTATATCTTATGTGGTATGTTTTTGATCTAAAATACGCTGTAACATTTGTCTTTATTTTGCTGTTTGTAAGTTCACAGAACTTCCATCCAACTCCCAAATTCTTATTCTTTTTCGTGTTTTTCAGCTGTATGTTAAACCTTTTTGCAAAAATATCAGCCCTTCTGTTCTTTTTCTAAACCTACACATGAGAAGTAGTTACCCAATCCATTAGTTTATTCATATATCTGCTTCTAGTTTCTTAGTGATTGTCCTACACCTCTGATGGGTGAGCTTGTCTTTATGTTAGTCTTCCACGGGGAGGCAGCTGAGACGTCTCTGAATGTAGACACTTCACAGTACCTCAGTTCACAAAGTGACCACTGAGTGGCACTGCAACAAACAGGGAAGGAGCCCAGGGTACCGCTGAGCAGGTTTATTACGTAATTGCAAACAAAGCCTGGTGACTTCCTCACTTTAACAAATACACAGATTGCTGAAAAACTGATATTTTGCTCCTCAGATGTTATAAATGTTGACAGATAGTCATTTATAGATGACATACTGGGTACTAGTATGATTTAAATTGTTTTAATTCATGTGTCAGTCTGAATGTATGCAAAGTCTGGACCACAGGATCTGTGGAAGCTGCTCTAACTCATCACAGTGTCTTGTCACATTTTTCAGTTGTGATATTTGAATCTATGCAAACATACAATTGGTGACTTTTGACAGTAATATGTTTGTATAAGCAGGTTAGCAGACTTTATACCGGGGCTAAGGCTGTATTCAGTATCTTAACATTCATGATTGTGTAAAGTAAAAATCCCATCATTCTTTGTCACAACATTATTTCAGATGATTCTTTAGTGTGTTGCTGTTATATGTTCTTGTTATTCGCTCACCATCGCTTCTGGATCAGAGAATGTGCTGTTCAGGTCCACTGTCTCCAGCTGGGCAGGAGGGCTGCAAAGAAATACCAGACATAACAAACAGTGACCATAAAGTCATATTTTAACCACCAGTACATAATAAACATCATGTCTTATACAAAATGTACATGTTTCTTGTATCAGTACACCTGTCTGTTAGTATTACTTGAGTTTAAGTGATGCATAGCGGAGGGTGGCCCCTTCGAATGCCTTCAGACTGGGATCTGGATAGACTGGATAGTCCTTCAGCTCCTGGAGGAAAAGACACAGGCGTATTTAGAAAAGGAAAATACTATCTGTTGTAAAAAAAAAAATTAAAAACTAGAAGATCTTGATGTTTTTTTTTTTTTTTTAAATCTCATTTGCTTCATAATAAGTGAATAGGATATTACTAATTTTAACTTAATATGAGAGATATTCATCTTTGTTGGATATGCACTTCAAACCGACCTGGACAGACATCACTTTTACTGCCACATTAGAGACACATCAATAACATCATCCAAAAAGCTGGACGACAAATAAAAGTTTTTGGAGCTCCTGAACAATACCAAAGTCAGCATTTACTGTACTGGAGGAATATGTGCAGTGGATTAACTCTTCTCGATTTGTAATTGCAATTTGATGACTGTAGAGTAATTATTGGTTTGGGATTTTGGTGGTAATTTTGGATAAAAAAGTGAGTTTCTCTGGATTTTGAAAGGATGCATTCCCATTCACACCAAAATTTATCAATGAAACCCTTAAAATGTCACAAAAATGCATCTGAACTTTGGATGCTAACCCTCCTATTACCTTTACATTTACTGACATCTTTTGTCCTTGGGGTCAAAGAAAAATTAAGAAAAAATATCAGAATTCAAATTGTGAAGTTTATGTGTAAATAGCCCTTTAAATAAAACTGAAAAAAATGATTTCAATCACTTATTTAGAGATGTTAAACATTGAATGGGGTCAAATCGACCCCAAAGATAATAGGAGGGTTAATAAGTGAACACCCAAACAAGCATGACGTACGTTGGCTGTGCAGGTGGTGCTGTTGAGATTTTGTCCAGAGAAGGTGATGTCATTGGAGAGGGTGGAGGAGGGGGAGGAGGGGGAGGAGCCGGAGGGTGAGGGTACCGGCTCCACTGAGCTGTCAGATATCAGACTGCTGGGGCGCTGTGGGGGAGAAAGAGGGATGGAGATAAAGAGGCAGAGGGTGGTGCAGGAAGAGAGACACAAAGGGGATGTTGGGTACATCCCTGATCACCAACAGCTTTCCTGATATCTTGGACAAAGACTGTATTTCTGCCAGTTACACAACAAACCTTTGACATGGAGGTTCCTCTCTAACAAAGCTATACAGAAAACCAGTGAAGTGCTGCTCAGGTTGCTGACTAAAAACTCAAAGTTTCATATTTAAATGTTTTTTTCTTTGAACATAAATTCCTTGCTGCCCTAAAATGGCTTACATTTAACTACACTGTTGCTTATTTTAAAATGTGCATTTTTTTAAAGTGTCCATCTCCCTCTCCATGCACCCTTCCACTAACTGCTGCAGCTTGAACACACCAATCTATACACAACTTTGCGGTAAATCTATGCTGCATAATGGCAGGTTCTAATAATGGAGTGATTCAGCCATACATGTTTGATAACCAACTCTGAGGAAGGATAATAATAAAGAAAGCCGCACCCTTCATGCTGACAGAATTGATTCCTTTAGTGTGTTACATATGATGTCAATGAAATGAAACGCTTAGCCATGGTGTTAAGTACACATTACATGCATGTTTTCTTGCATATATTTTAAAAAAACAAACGCCATATAGACATGTTAACAAAGTAAAAAGAAAAAAAAAAGATGTTTTACTAGAAGGGGGGTCATTTGGTTTAATATATTTTTTTACACTTGTGTCACTTGGGTCATTACAAAAAAAAAAAACCTTCTGAAATTTGATTTTATAATATGTTTGGCACAACAAGTCTAACTAAACTTCTGCCAATTAGCTTTATCTGCAGCTGTCAACCACGTCTCACCAGCAACTTGAGATTACTCGGCTTTCATGAAAGTTACTGTGTATGTGCAGGTCTCATCCTTGTCTCCTGCATAGTGAACATTTAGCCTTGACGAAATACTACACTTATATGTGAGGAAAACAGAAACCGTTTGAAAACATCTCTCTTCAACAAGTCTGTCAGTCGAATTATTAATAATATTCAATAGAAATAAATGTGTTTCCTCTCTGGGGACTGAATATGTTGACAAAAAAATTATAATAATGATAGGTTTGACAGAAAATGCTAGTGCTCAAAGAGCTTAACTAGGTTATACAGCCAAGTACATGTAAAATAAAACATAAATGTCCATTTGTGTTTGGCCTGTGGTGACCCTTCTCACCTCACTGGGTGGTTTGAGCGACTCCTGCATCTCCTGCTGTGGTTCGTGGTCAGTGTTGGAAGAGGTGTGCTGGTTGCTGGAGGCAACAGGTCGGTCGTACTGGGTAGTGCCGGTGGGAACGTGCCAGAAATAGACCTCTGATGAATCCGAGATTTCCCGCCAGCCCGGGGGCAGGTCTCCTTCAACCCATACATCTGCTGAGGGGTGACAGCGATACACAAACACATGAATATATCACACAACACATACTGCATATATGCATGCTTGCAAAAAAGGCTAATGATCATGAAATACTCGCACTGATGAGGCCAGATGCACACAAACGAGGGTGGACAGGGTAAATTTCAGAGATGGTCAGCCTGTCCCTACTTAGTTTCTGTTGTCATAGCAACTCCGGGGCTCATCCCCTGTGGTAGGACACAATGCGCAACAGCCTCTCTCCCTTCCTCTCTCGCTTGCCCGTCTTATATTTCTCTCCATACACTCATGTTCTCTATCTATTGCTTTGTCATACATCCTCGACAATCATCTCTTACTCAACCCAGCCCTGCTTTTCTCGCTTTGCTTTTTTTTTCTCTCTTCCCTTTTCACACCCTGCTATCTGCAGTATCCTATCCTTCTGTCCATCCTAATAACTCTCTGCACCATAAGGTTGCTCACGGGGGCCTTAAAGGTTCCAGCAGTATTGCTAGAGTGAGTGGCTTGCTTAAGAAGAGGCTTTTGGTAAATTTCCAGATCAGACAGTCTGTAGGAGGTAGAGAGACGGAAGAGGGGAGGAACGAAAGGAGGGTGTAATTGAGGCATGATTAAAGGCTGACACAGATATGCAAATTTTAAAAACGAAAATCAGATGAAAAGACTAACAAACGCATATCGAACCTCTCTCCTGTGGACTCTGTGGGGAGGGCGTCTCCTGGGACAGAGTGGTCCAGCTGGAGTCTTCATCCTCCGATGGAGTGTCAGGAGTCAGATCCATTCTTAAACCCACTTTAGGGACCCCAGTGTCTGGTTCTGGATCTGGCAGGGCAGGTGGAGCCCTGTTCCTGGTCGGGGTGCTCTTCTCTGCTGCTCTGGCCTGTTTAGGGGAAGACGGTGGGTACTGCTGCAAAAACTGGTTCTCGTTGTTGGGGTGCAGCTCCACCTTGATCACCCGGGGTTGGGAGCTCCGAGGGGGCTTTGCAGGACTACGTGGACTAGGCTGAATCTGGGCACTGAGCTCCTCTTTGAGCTGAGCTGGAGCCTGGTTCTGGAGGTGGTTCTGGTTGTCTGGCACCCACTCTGGGCTGTTGGTAGAAGAGGAGGAGGTGGAGGAAAGAGGGGCTTCGACCACCACTGGTAGCAGAGGCTGTCTAGGTGTTGGTGTGGGCTCATCTTCCTCTTCGTCCACCTCCACCACGGGCTCCACCTCTTCCTTCTCCTCCTGGCAGCTCTGCTTGTCGCTGTCCTTCTCCTCCTTCTGGCTCTCCCTCTCTTTGGCAGGACTGGCCTGCTCCTTCTCTGGGGAAGGCTGCTGCTTCTTCTCCTCCTTGTCCTCTTTGTTCCCCCAGCTGAGGTCCAGATCCCAGCCCTTCCCATGGTACTCCAAGAAGCTCTTGGTCCTTCTACGAAATGGAGGCAGCTGTGAGTTATCTTTCCCAAATTCTAGCCAGTCCGAACTGGGATTATTGATGAGATCATTGTGAATCTTGCCCTCTGTATTGGCCCTGCTCAGCTCCAGCTGCTGGCTCTCAGCTCGTCTCTGCATGTTGGCTCCATTCTTGGCCAGTTTGGGGTTGGCTGTATTGAACAGCGAGGAGGAGGAAGAGGAGGAGTAGAGGGCAGAGCTGGAGGACGACTTGGTGGGGAGGCCCCTTCCTCTGGTTACAGGTTGGTTTTTAGACGACAAAGCCAAGTTGTCACTTATCCCCATGACGCTGCGCACGCTGGTCATCGTGTACCTCTGACGGCTCTTCGGCAAGGTGGCTGAACTTCCTGTTTCCATGGACTCCTTGATGACATCGCGCCCAAGCAGCTGGTTGTATGACGAGCGAAGGCTGAGGGAGGTGGGAGGGGTGGCGGAGGAGCTGCTGCGACTGGCCAGGCCCACAGTGGAGGGGGAGGAGCCAGAGCGGGAGAGGGGAGGAGTTTGTACGGACATCATGGCTGACTGGGAGTGCACTGCAGTGATAGTACTGATGGAAGAAAAGACAAAATGTTATAAGTCGAGTGAGACACTGAAGCAGTTCATATTAGATTGATGGAGATACCAATATTGACTTTAAGAAGTTTCTCTCTCTTTTTTTGGGACATAAACACATAATTTAAACCATATTTTATTACATTTATCTTCTAAGCGTGTTCTTTAAAGTGACAAAGATTTTTATCAAGAAGCCTGGACATTATTATTGTTTTTTGTTTTAAAACATACACACAGAATAAAGCAATATTCAGGATATACACCTTTAAAGTTTTTTCTTTAAATGGACAAAGACATGTACCGGGCAGCCTAGACGCTTTATCAGACAAATTCCTCACTTTAATTTCCCAGGGGTCAAAAACACTCCTTGTTTGGAGCCCATTCCACGTCCACTTATCTCTATGGTTGGCTAATGTTTAGTCTCTGGGTAAGTATCTTTATAAAAGCTAGACTCTCTGGACTCTTGGCTGGCAGGCCGTCCCAAAAACTACTGCAATATTAATTGGAATAGAACAGAACAGAATAGAAAAAAACACGACCATCTCCCTGACATCATCACAGATGGGTAACATTATCAGGATGAGATGTTCAGCACAGTGTCGCTCATTTGCATCCCTCTGATCCTACAACCAAACATAAAGCCAATAAAACATCTCTCTGGCTGCAGCTCAACCAAGCTTTTATCAGTGCACTATGGGTGCAGATTCTTTTCCAGCCTCACGCCCCTTTTACACATAAGGTGTCACTGTTGAAGTGTTAAAAAACACTGCATCAAAGTCATGAATCTGGAATGCATTTGCATGATATCAGGAGTGAGTCAGACCCTCGATGTATTCAACCAGGACTGACATTCAAAGCTGCAGCTGAGCAGTAAGCCGGTCTGTGGGGAGGAGAAGTGGCAGGCAGCTCCTGCTAACTAGCTAACCGTGTCTCTTTTATCTCTGGGTGGATCAGCTCTGTGATGCTGAATACAGACAGATGGGTAGCAGCAAAGACAATAGCAGAAAATCATTATTATCTTAAGGCATGATACATATATGGCTTGCATCACTACCACTCCTGTTTTTAAATGATTTCATTAGGCTGTGGAAAGCAGGTTAACACCTGAGCACAGATACTGGTAGGAAAACAGGTCCACACACGCAAGCATAACGTACAAACATCCTTTCAAACGATCCTAAACACACACACACACCTCGCACAATGCTGCAGTCATCACCAGTGCCTTTTCTCAGAAACATGGAAAACTCTAACACAGCAGATTTCAAAGCACGACAAGATCCTGGGAAAAGACGAAGGCAGGGTTTTTAGAGCGAACAGAATCCCTGGACAGAGCACTTTGCTCATGCGGGGCCCCTATCGGGCGCTCCTCTCCCTGGGTGGTTGTCGTGTTGTCCCTCTGTCACTGAGCCAGACAACCACAACAACCTGTTTGTGCTGAATCTGCGCTCGCTCCCCAGGCCTGTGACTCAGACACAAAAACACTGTCAACAGGTACAAACTACCTGCACCGCCTCATCTGAATGCCGACTACTGTCAGCCGGCAAAGCTCATCCCTTACGTCATTTAAATGTCATGCAAATCCAATTTTCGTGTTATCTCCTTAATAGACTGTACTGTTGCCTGTAGGCTCAAATAATTCCTCTGAACTCTTTGCCCTCATGAATGCATAAACACACAAGTAAAAGACAGAAAACCTGACATTTTGGAGATAGCAGCCTTTCACCAGACAGCTACAGATTATGCCATGAGTTTTCTGAAGCTGAAAATCACAGCAAGTATGTTGCATGACTCAGAGGCTGAATTACACATCCTGACACAACCCCGAAAACTGACAGTGAGTGATAAGAAAACAGCATTTCAACTCCCCATTGTCCCTTTTTTTTTTTCATATTGTGTCTCAGCCGCAGACAAACAGGGCCATCTCAGACAGATATGAGGGCCTTTTCTCTCTTTCTTTATTTCTTTCCCCTCCAGCAATGCAGTCAGGTCTCTATTAGTTAAACAAAGTGGGGCAAAGACAGGATGTGAGCGTGGAGGAGAAAGGATGGTTATTAGAGGGAGAAAGTGAGCGGAATGACACAGCAGTTTGCAGGACAGTGGGGCACAGTCAACACACAGAGGTAGTTAGACTGTTGTCCTCAATAAATCTGTTGTTCTCCGTAACAGCAGAGGTCATTCATGAGATGCACCAGATTTTTAGTAGCGGGTCACAGAACAGCAGCAACATGTATCCTGATAAAACTGTTATGTCTCAGTCTGTTCAGGCTTTTAAAAAAAATCCTGTTGCTTGTCTTGCTTGGATGTGCTGCATTATAGTAAATAAGTGAGACTTAGTGGCATGACATACAGAATGAATGAAAATAAAAACTTGTTGACACATAAAATACAATGTTCCTTCCCTATCTTTGCAGCAAGATGTCAGAACAGGATCCTTATCTGCTCTGGTTGTTTATATTCCCTGCTCACCTTGTAGATACAGGGCTTACAGACAACAGTGTTTCCACCTGAAGGTCAAAGAAAGACCCTTTTCTTAAGACTTTGCATCAATAACAGGCTTCTGAGATTAGACAGTGTCTAAATACTGTGAGATAAGGGTGAGAGGAAACCATCTTTCATCAACTTGTAATGGCAGGCCTCTTTCCTCAACTCAGAGCTGCACCCACTGCTTTAGAAAATGAAATGCAACAGATGAAAGCACAGCCAGGGGAGAAAATGAACTTGAAAAAGTCGATGATGTCATGGGTGGAGTATTAGCTCCTCGTTTCTTGCTGCCTCCTTAATAAACTCCCTCAGCGACACATCAGAAACAGCCCATCGTTTAAATCTTCGCAGAACCGCCGAGGATGGATAACAGGAGTTTCCAAATATTGCTGAAGCTGATTTGTCAATATGTGAAGAAACGCAGCAAAAACCTTTAGCATCCTCCTCTCTCTCCTTCTCTCTCTCTCCCTTTCTCTTTCTCTCTCCAGCCCCAGCACCGCCACCGCCGCACTGGGAGGGGAGAGCATCCCGTCGAGAGCATCTATTTACATCCACTCACCGCTTCGGTCAGCCTCCGGGCTTTCTGCGCCTCCCTTCCCACGACGACGCGCACAGCAGCAGTGAGCAGAGGCCGAGGTCAACAGCCGCTTTTAAGCGCCAGTCCGCCCGTAGCTGCAGCCGGCCGCCCGTATCAGATCACATCACATCATCTGCCCTCCCAGCCCGGCTCGGTGCTCGCTGCTGGCGGCCAAAGCTGCGCTTTCTCTCTGCGCCAGAGGATCCCGGAGCGGAGCGGCGCGGCGCTGTGGAGCTCCTCAACCCAGCTGGCCAATCAGAGGCGCGGACGCAGGGACGCTCGGCGCACGGAGGAGACGCAACCACAATAAATCTACCGGTGTTATTTTGCAACTCAGGTAATGAAATCACACATCATCGGACTCTTACGTCATGCATTAGTCTGAGGAAACGTGAATGGTTTATAGAGCCGCACCGGGTTTTAACATATCTGCCACTGAAACACAGATGCAGCTTCACTTCTGTGTGGATAAATATTTGATGAAGATTGACTCAGTCTTGTCCTAAAACCAATGTTTCCATCTGTCAAGTTGCTGACATCAAGCCCTGATTATACTGTAGCACTGATTACCTATTTTTTGAGGAATAAAAAAGCTTTACAACAGACTTTTGGGATGATTTTTTATTTTATTTTGTTAATATGTGCGCTTAACAAAAATACAGCCTCTTCTCAGTGCATCATAATTCCCTTTGGCATGTCTGGTTAACAGTTTGGGCTATCACAAAGCATGCAGTAGTGTTTTCTGAAATTGTACTTCTACCATGAGAACAATTTCCCCTAAAAACATAACATACCGTTTAAGCGTAAAACATAAAGCACTTTTGTTGTGTTATAGTTGACAGGCGACATAATTGTATTCTACGTCTTTTTATGTGATTTATTCCACATTAGTTTGCAGAGAAACAAGTAACCCAAAGGCACCTAGATCACATTTTTTCCATGTACTGGAGAACTTATATCACAGGAAAGCTTATATGAAAACACCACGATTGAAAGCTTCTCCTCCGATTCTACACATAATATTGTAAAACCTTGTGCTAAACAGCTCTTCCATATATAAAAAACACCATACATTTCATGTACACTCACATATCTGACCAAGTATAAAAGCCATTCACTCTAATCCAGACTTCACAACACCTAACACACTCTGACCTTTGTCTTTGAGAGACAATTCACACCTTGACATACATTCTCAGTTTGGCTTGTGCCGCCTCTGGACCTCTATCCGACCCCTACAGTCCACTGGCAGGTTCCTTTCTCAGTGCTGGTGGGAAGGAGGTGAAGAGGTGTGGAGGCCGACGACGGAGGGACGCACAAGCTCCCGGTGCTCCAGGAGTGAGGCAGCAGAGGCGGAGTTTTGGGGAGACCGGTAGAAAAAAGGACACGAGTGGCCAGAAAGGAAAGCGGCTGCTGGAGTCGACGGTCGTCTACAGAGAAACACGGAGCTGAACGGATGGAGCGCAACATTGCGTTTTCTGCTGGAGACAGAACAGAAATCGCATATTATTGCTGCTGTCTTGGCTCATTAAAACCAAATCACATGCAGTGTCATCGCTAACAAATACACAAAATGCTGTGACTAACACAAATCTTTCAAACAGAGCATGTGTACGTACCCTTACTGTATGTGTCATTAAGAGGTGTTATTAAGCTCTTTGCTGTCTTGTTGCCTGCTTGAGCGGCTCGTTTGTAGAATTCAACTGCCGTCCTCAAGTTCTGTTGCACCCCCAAGCCGCTCTCGTAACATTGGCCCAAGAAGAGCAGGGCTGTGTTGTCCTGAGCAAACAAACAAACACAGGATTAAAGTAATTTAACCTTCGAGGCCAAGCATTTAAATGTGCCTCGGAAAGAACTTGACGTTGCTTTTACGCAGAGTCAAACATGCAACGTTATATTATATTTTAAAAATCATCTCCAGGAATTTATAGACATGTTTAGGAACAAGACTCAACACTGAAACATTCAAGAAAACTAGATCTTAAGTAATTTCTAGCAACAGCAACTGATCATAAACTTTATCACAACTGCGGTAAAAAGTTGAAAAAGTAATGTGAGCAGTGATGTTTTAATTATTAAAAGTAGGATATCATCAGGATATCCTTTCCCAAATGTAACATGATGGAGATATTGCACCAGGAAGGGAGGAGATCCCTGATACAAAGCCACTAATAAAAGTCTAGAAGCATCTAGAAGATCACTCACTCCGCTCTCTGCTGCCATCTTCAGATACTCGACAGACTTGCACCCGTATCTCACTGGATCCTGGGAGTAGACCGAGGCCAGGCAGACCTGCGCCTGAAGAGGAGGAATGGAACGTTGTTTTAAACCAATGAGGACAAACCAACATCAGCTGACAACATTTTTCACACACAAAGACAGCAATAAGTGTGCTTGAATGACAGTAACAGAGGTGCTTACTGAATGAATCCATTCATGTGGAATTTCAGGCTGTTAAAGTTCTCAAACCATTTAATACGACAACATGCAGGTCATTAGACTTGTGATACAGTTTTATGACTCTTATTAGTAACTTGCCACATTGAAGCTGAGGCAGAAAATTGTGATAAAATGCAACTATCATCTTTAAACGAATAGATTGTGATATGCTACAGGTTCGGTTTGAGTTCAGGTAAGACGAGACGATTAAATTGTAATTTTTCTCTCTGCTTCTGGGGTCTCTCTCTTTTTTAAAAAATATTTAAATAAAAATCTAGACTAATAGGTACTATAGTACTTTTCGTCCGCCCCATTCAAGCAAACAACAAGGCACAAAAAGATGTCTTGTCAGGCTTTTATATTCTAACACTAAAACAAATAAGAAATCTCTTTTGTATTTTTCAAGTCATGGTAGAAACAGCACAGGTGTTTCATTTAACTATTCTACACTATTGACAGTCTGTGTTAAATGGTACTTGTATTTCTCTGTATTACAGTTGCAATTGTATTCTCTGAACGAAGAGTTCATCATATTTTGTCATGATTGCTACCTTGGTGAGGCCGGCTGCAGCAGCTTGTTCCAGGAAACTGATAGCAGTGTCCAACTCATCTAAACTCTGGTGCCCCCTACTGGTCAGGAGCAGCTTTGCGTAGCGATACTGAGCTTGTTTGTGGCCACCGGCTGCTGCTTGCTTGTAATAATACAGAGCCTTGGAGAAAAAAAACACAAGGGGATATTGCGACAGTGCAATTACAAGTGAAATATGATTAAGATAAAAAAAAAAAACTGTGTCACTGCTGGAGAATGGTCTGGCTGCATCTTATTATCATAAGGTGTCAAAATGCTCTAGCTTGCTTGTATTTTGTTAAAGCTATGATCGTCTTCGGTGTTACTAAAGGTCCAGATGTAGTGAGTGTGCCACTACAAAATAGCGTCAGAGGGAAACTTAATTTGGTGGACATGATTGGGAAACAAAACTTTTTGCATAACAGGTGGGCAATCGTGCAAAAACGTCCCTGTTAATGTTGTAGCAGTCTTTGTAGATCTTTGCAACCATTCACCAAATAAGCCAAGCAGGACTATGTTACTGTAAGATCAAAATCTTTGTTTCATACAACTTTTTCATTTTCAGTGTGTAGACTGTATGCATAGAGACTGTGTGAGTCGATGAGCTTTTACATCGACTCACACGGCTCTTACAGTGTTTTATGTATTTTGAAGACCTGCACATATACTGTGTCTCACCTTCTCAATGTCCTTGCTGACTCCTCTGCCTTTCTCGTAGCACACACCTGTGTTAAATTGGCCTTTACTGTAGCCCTGCTGAGCTGCTGCTAAAAAACAGGTGAAAGCTTCCTCATAGTTGTCTCTCTTGGCACTCTCTATACCTGTTGTACAAAGGAAGAATAAGATGTTTGCTATCAATACGAGAAAAACGGAGAAAATGCAATCTGAAGTGCAAAAGCCTGCAAAAATGATTTAACTAAAATTGTCTCAAGTGGTTGAGTCAATAAATCATTACCGATGACATTGAGGATAACAGGAACACTAGTGTCTCCGACATGTCTCAGATTCAGTGCTGCTTCTGCCAGCTTCTCTTCATCAGACAATATGTTCTAGAAACACCAGATAAAACAATACAAATCTGATGATTATCCATCATCTCAGTCAGTACTTTTCCAGGATAAAGAAAGAAAATCTCTTTCAGATAAAGTACACACAAATTAAAAGAGGCTGGCTTTTACCTCTTCTTTTGCATCTTTTTCCTCTGTAGTCTCTTGGTTGGCATCATTCTGCCGAGGACAGGCTGCTGACAGAAGCGATTCTTCTGTAAGGCAGGCAAGAAAAAAATATCATATTCCACTCCAACAAATATTAGGTTAACAGAATCTAAACCGTACACATAGCTATGACAAACAAAACAAACCTAGTATAAGCGAATCCTGGGTAAGGAGTGCCCTCTGGTGGTCAGAGATGGAGCTTTCAGCACTCAGATGGTCCTGCTCACTACTGCTGCTACTGCTGCTGCTGCTGCTGCTGCTTTGAGCTGAACTCTGATCGTGGTTCTGTCTCTCTGGCACCTCCTGCAGACACAACACATTCGTTCCTCTGGGCAGGACATCGCGTCTCGATACTGCAAAAATCAGACAGAAACAACAAAACAGTGTCAGGATTCTGATCACACAAAATTCAAGGAAAAAAGAAGTTTGGGGTAGAGATGGTCAAGTGTGTGTTGAGGATCAACCCCCTGCAGGTCTGTTGATGCTAGAAGGACTCACAGATCTCGAGCAGGATGCGATAGCCGCATTTCTGCAGAGTTGAAGTTGCTGTCAAGGTTCCAGGGGTCGGACTGGGTTCAGTGCCTGAGGAGAACTGGGAGTGGATCCTCCTGCAGATCTGCATGAACAGAACTGTTGCTGTACCCTGTGGAGAAACATTAGATCCACTGTCACAAGAAGATCTCCTATGCGAGATGTGCACCACTACTGCAGTTACTAACATACTATATATTAGGGGTGTAACAAATACACGTATTCGTACCGAACCATTCGGTACAGGCCCTTTCGGTTCGGTGCAGACGTGCACCACGGTACGAAAATTTTAAGACTATTAAGAACGGCCAATGTACAGAATTGTTTCAATTGCGAAACTTTAAATCTCATGGTGCCCACCGTTGTGGTGGACCTTCTCCGGCTCACAGTTGCGCAGTATTGCGGAGCTAAAAACAAGTAGGAGTTTCCAGTGGACCACAGGATGTGATGGACCGTTTATGCTCCTGTCGGCGCTGCCTTGTCAGCTCGGTCTGTATGGCTAGCGAATGGGATGGCTAATGCTAACAACAACAACAACAACAACAAGCCAGAGCTGGAAGACGCTCCGATGTCATTAAAATCACCCGTTTGGGATCACTTTGGTTTCCTGGTGAAGTCCGAAAAAGGAGAAAAACAAGTCGACAAGACGAAAGCCGTATGTCCACACTGTGAAGCGGTCCTCAACTATGCATCCGGCAACACGTCAGGCTTACACACTCATTTGAAAAGACAGCATCCAAGCGTAACATATACATGCAGTAGATTTGCATTCATGTGTTTCATGCATAAACAGTTCTGCTGAGCATGTTTCTTCCTGCCCTTGTAACATAGTCGCTGCAGGGACCCAGATTTTTGGCTGAGCATGGACAATTATGTGTACTTGGGTCTTGAGATGACAAAATGTTTTTAATATGCTTGTCAAGCAAATTTTAAAGTCAACTTTGAAATGAAGCAAAAAAAAAAAAACAACAACAAAAAAACAAAAAAAACCCAAGAAAGCGAATTAGGCTTTTTTCCATTAACCACTTTGGAGTGAATAAACGAGGCTGCGGAGTGTCATCAGACAGCAGCAGTATGCAATATGTGTCCTTTGGTTGTAATAAACAGATCAGACGATGCCGGAAACTGAACCAGTTATTTGCCAGCAGCTAAAAAAGAAAAATTAAGAAGAAGCAGGAACAAACACAACTTTAGTGAACTGTAAGTGAAAAACGGTGAGGGGTCGACAGGATTGTTTTCAATCAGTCAAGATGTAATCAGTCTTTTATGCCAGTCGGTGTTGACCATGTTTCATGCTGTATGAAAGTGATGAAAGCTGCAGCATTAGCTGATCAGCCATGTGAGTTAAAAGTTTGATGTCATAGATTATTTGAAAAATCCTCTTGCATTGCATCTTTTTCAAAAATCTCAAAAACTAGCATAAAAAACTTTTTGTGAAACTAAGTTTTCCCCAATTTTGCATTCTTCATTAACCCTTTTTAATGCTTAAAAGTACAGCTAGACAGTAGATTCTCCATGACACATTCATACTTTGCTGTGTCTTTAACAGCAGATACCATGTGGGACCATAAAATGATGCTGCAGGCATCAATCAGTTTGTTGTACACTCAGAGCAAATATGCAATGTGTATGTTTGTAGAAAATTGTATAGATGTGCACTGATGGTTGTGCTAATGTATTGTCATAAGGATTTAAGTAAGTTATTGCAATGAATGTATCCAATGCTAATGGCTGTCCAGTAGTGCATGATGTCTATCAATCCTATCAAGCTCCATTCCTCTAGTCAGTCCAGACTGTTGAGTCCCTTAGTGAACCTGCTGACATCTGTCTTCCAGCTATTTATAGACAAATTCTAAAAAACTGAATGCATTCGGATATTTGGATTGCAAATGCAGCAATAGAAAGACATACCCATCCCACAGCATCCAGGGCTGTGTAACGTGGAAGCTCAGTGTAGCCAAACTGAAAAGTCCTCTGCTTCCTCCTCCTCTCTCCATCCTCCTCTTTCTGAGAGCTGCAAGAAAAACAGCACAAAGAAAATCCAACATTTGTAAATATTTTTCTATTTCCTGTCGATTGTGAGGCTTCACAGAAATACTCTGTTTGAGACAGATGGCTTTGTTTCTGTTCTCTCGACTTACACTGTTTATACACACACGCGCACACACACACACCTACACACCTACACACACACACACACACACACACACACAAGTTGCTGCTGGATGACGCAACCAGCTGAAAGGGAGACAATAAGGACAAAGAAGGTTCAATAATGGGGTAAAGGAACAACAAAGGACAGAGATGAGGGTAGTCTCCGAGGTCTCACCTTAATCCAAACGTTCTCTTTTCATCACCTGATAATATGGCCGGCAGTTTGAGTACAAAGAAGTCCTGGCATCAAAGTGAGATGCTCAAGGCTTTTCTCGTATGTTCCTTTCTTCTCACTTTCTAATCTTTTGTGTCAGACCAGCGCTGAAGTTTGAGCAGTGAAAATGAAAGGATGGAGGTGTTGAGAGTACCTGCTGTCAGAGGAGTGTCGAGAGGTGGAGAGGACCGCCGAGTTGTTGATGACCTCGTCCTCCACATGGTGGTTCTGGGGCAGTCGCAGGGAGCTGCTGCCATGGCAGCGATGCAGGACTGAAATTAGGTGGGATGGAAAAACAGCAGAAATCAAACATTAATGTCCAGTGTTAAAAAGTGTCCAGGATGGTTAGATGGTTGAGTCTCCTCAGAGCCACTAAACAGCCTCTGTTATTTAAAGTTGTAGAAATCGAAGTCAGACAGTCTTCAGTTTTAGTTTCATTGTATGCAGGTGAGAGCAACTGAGAAAAACTGCTGCACTTAAACTCCAATATACATATATGATGTAAACTTTCCTTTTAATTTAAGTTGAAGTATATACCTCTCTATACCTCTTTTTTGTTTTGTTTTGTTTTGTTTGAGGATAGACAAATTTCCCATTTTTGCATGTGTAGCTGATCAGGTGACCAGCACTGACCCATTCTTTTGATTGTCTTCAATTCAGTATGCTTTACATGCACGAATGTCATGTTGATAATTTCGCCAAAGCATCAAGGAAAGCCTCATTCCAAAAAAGGAAAAAGAACAACTGATACCATTTTAAGTGGAATAACGACATATTATTTAGTTAGTTATGTTATTATAGCAAATTCCAATTCTACTGTCTTATCCAGAGATTGAGTAGATCTTTTGCCATTCTCATGTTATTTTATCATCCTATTCAAAGTCATAAAGTCATAAACATTTTTACAAATTCAGTACTGCAATCAGTTAATATTTGAAAAGTGATAAGAAATTACAATATAGGTAATACAGTATAATATAGCGAGATATGCAGGAGTACTCCTAAATGTGGCAGTAATACAGGCCCACACTGTACCAACCATGTGTGTTTAGGATCCACGCAGGTGATTTAATGCAGGAAATGTTTTGTGTATAAACATTGTGACACTGTAATGTGTATTTGCGTGTTTAACAGCATTACAGTTCGGTCCTTGGCATGTTTAGTGACACTGAATGGTCCGAAATAGGTTGTAACAGCTCAGTAACATGACCTGACTGCAGTGGACCAAAATAAACCAGCGGAGCAAAGTTAAGACAAGAATCGACTTCATTTGCTTTCAGTGGAGTTCAATATACAGCTACTGACAAAAGGGACGCGCAATGAACGGCGTTAATGTTTTAATAAAATGCAACACATGCTAATAATGCTAATAATGAAACCGTGTTCAGACACAACAAACACGTTGTTAAAAAAAGGGGAGGAGGACTTTCTCCTGTCGGTAACGCTCCACTCACCTCTTCCAACAAGACTTTGGACCCTCCACATGGTTCGTCTTTCACAGCAGCTTTATCGCTTGTCTCCGACCGGGCATGTTCACGGTGTTAGCGGGGTGTCCGGTCCCGGGACACAGGCCGGTTCTGGCAGGAGGTTCGGTTCCCTCCGGCAGTTTCGATGGAGGTAAATACAGAAGGTCACGAGACGCGTCGGAGGAGCTCCAACCCGGAAGTGGGGTGATGTGACGTCAAAGCGAACGATGGAGATGGGCGTTCAGTCTCACAGCGCCTCCCTGCGGCGTATGGAGGAACTACAGCATCACAGTGTCCTGCAGGGCTTTCTAGGACTCTTGTTTTTCATGATCTCTTTCATGGGCCACACAGCATGGTGCCACTTGTCTATTCCAAGTATTAAGTAGCTCTTCTATGGAAGAGGTACCGGCAACCCCCCCCCCCCAAAAAAAACAAACAAACAAACAAACAAACAAAAAAAACAACTATCTTACAGTTTTGAGTAGAATGAACCAGTTAAATCCTTCAAAGCTATAACTTGCTCTTTAGAAAGTACTAACTGGGTGGAATAAACCTTTAACACTATACATACTTGGCTATAAAGTAGCATTTTGGAAGAATAAACCTTTAAAAAAAAAAACAACTTGTTCATTAAAAAGTATAATTTGTGTGAAATAAACCTCTAAAACCAAAAGTCCTTGAACACAAAGCAGTATTTTGGGAGGGGAAAAAAGAATTTAAAATGATAACTCTCTCTTTAGAAAAGTGATATTTGTGCAAAATTAACCTTTGCTGCAAGGTGGCGCAGTTGGTTAGCATTGTTGCCTCGCAGCAAGAAGATCGCCAGTTCGCATCACGGTGGGGGCACCGGGATCTTTCTGCGTGGAGTTTGCATGTTCTCCCCGTGCAGTGTGGGTTCTCTCCGGGTTCTCCGGCTTCCTCCCACAAGTCCAAAAACATGTTGAGGTTAATTGTTGATTCTAAATTGTCCGTAGGTGTGAATGTGAGTGTGCTTGATTGTCTGTCTCTAAGCCCTGTGATAGACTGGTGACCTGTCCAGGGTGTCCCCTGCCTTTGCCCTAAGTCAGCTGGGATAGACTCCAGCCCCCCATGACCCTAGTGAGGATTAAGCGGTGTGTAGAGAATGGATGGATGGAACCTTTACATTTATAAGTGCTTGGACAGAAAGTGCTATTTTGGGTGGGAAAACCCTTCAAAACCATAATCTGTCCATTAGAAAGTACTAATTGATTAGAATAAATGTTCAATAAACCTATAAATCTATATGTTCTTTGGCAGAGGGTAGTAATTTGGTTGAATAATAACTTGTGAGTTACAACGATCTGTTTGTGTGGACTAGTCCATGGACAGAGTAGAATTTCAGGTGGCATAAAGCATACAAATCCCAACTTGTTAGTTGAAAAGTACTATTTATGTGAAATAAACTTGTAAAACTTTAAGTCCTTGAACAGAAATCAGTACTTTGGGTGGAATAAACAATTTAAGCCACAGTTTGTTAGTTATAAAGTACAATTTATATGGAATAAACTTTTAGAACTCTAAAGCAGGATATGTGCAGCAGTGTCATTATTGTCATTATTCTTCCCATAACTACTTTTAGAACATGGCCTAAGTAACATTCTGGTAATTAAAAGCTTGGCCTCAACTAAAAAGCATTTTACTGCCATACTGGGAAGTGCTAAAGTTAGATACAGTAGCTTATTTTATACTATGGACAGAACTTTTGGTGTTTTCTGTTTGCTACACAGTTTTTTTTTTTTTAAATGTCTGATCATTATTAGTTTTTTATGTGAGGTTTTGTGTTATGGGACTTCGTGGGTGAACCTTTTTGTCAAGCTGAGTGTTGAAAGATGTCCCAATTCTGACACCAAAAGCAGGTTGTAGTAAACAAAATGCAAACCTTAGTCTAAAAAAAAACTGGTACAAAAGCTAACTAAAGTGGAGATTAATCAATACCATTGGGAGCTGGCAAAGAAATAAGGTAACACAACAGCGTTTTTTTTTTAAACAAACAAAAAAACAATCTAAGTGCACAAAGCAGAATCAGACAAGGAAGATAAGGAAAACCCAGGCAGTTCGACACAAGGGAAGCAAACAAGAGGCTGATAAATGGGTGGCAAACAGGCAGATAATCCTTGAGACAAAACAGGTTTGCAAACAGAGCAAACTAACAAAAGACAGGGGGAAATGCAAGACTATTTATACGCAGGGAACTAATCAGGGAGACAAGACACAAGCGACACTAAAGGCACAGGTGAAAATAATGACAGCAATCAAAAGGAGGAGGGAAACAGACAAAGAGAGGAAGTAAAAAGAGGAGCAACACACAAGGGAAGGGAGTGAAATACAACAAAACAGGAAATGATTATAACTATAATTGCAAACCATGACATTTTCTCCTCACCAGCACTTACATATCGTTTCCTGGACTTTTTAAATGGCCAGTCACCCAAGTTGCTATTACATAAAATGTATAAAAAAAACTATTATTTCCAAGGCACACCTCTACATAAATGGCTATGTAAATCTCACTGTGCGTTCTTTGGGATTTATTATCAGGTTTAATCATCAGCTTTCTGAGCTGGACTACCGCCCCAATGTGTCAAGATCCCAACAACGCTTCAAGAGTCTTTAATAGGGTTTGTCTACAGAGGATACTCCAATTTGTTATCATCAGAAAAGAGCAGGTGTTACCGATATTATTAACATTAAAATTTGTTATATTCAGGAGTCCCAGTGTGAAAGGACACTGAAGCAGAAGCACTATAGAATTCCTAACTGTGATTTCCTTCTTGTTTAGGGACCCAGCAGTCAAGCAACTTTCAAAATGTTTGTTTTTTTTCTTCCCAAAGAGGTGTCAGATTAACTCAACTAACACACCTGACCAGACACGAGGGAAGCATACATTGTAATGTATTTATTTAATTTTTTTAATTTAACCTTTATTTAACCAGGTGAATCCCATTGAGATTGATGTAGTGGATCAAACCGATATAAACACACAAACATGGGCAAAGCTCCCTGATCCCTACATGCTGTAAAAACTCTCATTCTGGTCAAGTCCCCTAATTTGTTGACTGAATAAATAGCTAAATGCATATTATAAGTGTCTTTTCCAGCACAGTGCATACTTCACAGTTTAAAGTTTAATGTTGCAGAAAAGCTAATATATATATATATGAATAAATATGTACTTAATGCCATAATTCCTGTAACATCAGTAATGTCCAGAGGCTCCACTCACGAGGAAAGCAGTACTTTATTTTCACATGCATAGTCATAATTAAGGCATAAGGACACCAGGCTATATGATTTGGTCTGATTCAAGATTAAATATATTATCTGTTAATTCGTAGACTTATTGATTCTGTAGCACTCCTCTCATACACACAAGTGTTTGTAAAAATCTAGTTAGGTGTAGTGAATTAGGAGAAAGGGGAGATACTTGTCAGATTTATTCAGGGATTGATGGTTTGATCTGGCAAACCCCCCAGAGCTCATAAGTCACTCTATAGGATGGGTTGGACTTTTCTCTGCCCTCCAAACAGTGACGCACGCCGCGACACTTTACTGGAAACGCTCACTCTTCCAGTCAGATAGGGATAAACAAAGGGCCCGTGGTGGTGGGGGGGAGGAGGAGGTCTGGTGTTGTGAAGTCAGATTAAACTTGGAATAATTCACTCCTTGACCAGTTGCCATGGTGACACAGTCATCACGTCTTTCACTTACGAGCCTCCTCAGGCGAATAAGTCTAGCCTGCAGTAGTTTGTAATGCTAGCAAGATGCCTGCACTGCCAAATAATGTTTGCTGATTCGCCTGGGGCCAAATTTGTCTGAGCAATATGGAAAAAACATCGAGCTGGGCTGGAAACAGTGTCCCACTAGAACCGGCTAATTGAGCAGTTTGTCTTTACCCATGTTTCAGTCTGTACTAGGGTTCTCAAATTTGAAAAATTTGAAGCAGGGAGAGGGGACTTGATAAGTGTTAAGCATTTTCTGAAATCTCATTAGTTCTCTGTTTTTTGGGGGCGGTTTTTTTTTGTGCATTTTAAAAGCATTTCTTCCGTCACCACAGTTTATGAGTCGTGGACCGCCTGCTAGTTCACCAGTTGGTTTCCTGACACTGAGTGCAAACAAAGCGATGGAGCCAAGTGGTTTAGGAGGCAGCGGTAACACAGGAGTACAGTTACTCAAGGACGTTCTAATGTACAGAGTAATATTATTCTTCACCAGGTGCTACTTTATATTTCAGCTATAAATAATTTCTGGGAAAACAAACTTTTTACTCAATTATTATACTATTTAAAGTGATAAGCACTACTTTTGACAGCGTCTTCTCAGAGTCCACATGGCAGGTTAATTGGTGATTCTAAATTAGGTGTATGTGTGCTTCTCTGAGTTAGTCCTGGGATGGACTAACAAACTATCCAGGGTGTCTTGCGCCAATGTCAGCTGGAATAGATTCCAGTCCCCTGTGATCCTCCACTGGATAATGCAGGTATAGCACACAGATAGAAAGACTTAAAAATACACTGAATAAAAATATTTCAACACAGCATGTACATTTTCTTTTTCAGGTGTGGCTTTAAAGGACAATGATCAGATAGTATGAACAATACACAGACACTCCTTTGACCGGTGACCATAACAGGCCACTCTAAAATGCAGCCTCAAATGAGAAGATGCCACAGATGACAAGAGAAAGATGAGAAACAGGCTGTCAACATGCTGGATCCTCATGAATGTCCACAACACCACCATTTGTTGTCAAAGAAATTCAGACAGCACAGTATAACACACACAGTCCGCTACATGATGCTCTGGATGGACATGTCCCACAATGTGATCCGGCCCCCTAACATGTCTGTCAGCTTCACCCAGTCCTTCAGGAAGACTGGGACAACATGTCACAAACATCCATTGACAACCTCATTAACTCTAAACGTTGCAGTGGTGTGACTTGTTATCAACTTGTCTGGTTGTTCTCAGTCTGCCCATTATCCTTTTCAATACAGTGTGTACTTAGTTGTTTGATGATGTCCGTTCTGTTGTAGAGACGCAGTGTGTCGGAAAAGCAAAGATATATTTCTCTATGTTAAAAAGTATGGATAGGGTTGAATAAAATATTAGATGCTGTGCATATATTTTTGATCAGCATATAATAAGTTAATAAAAATATTAAGCATTATTGATGGTTGAAACGGTTGTTCCCAACCCTTTTTGGTTAATGACCCCTTTCCAAAAATAAGCGTAAGTTGACCTTCCTTGTCACCTCATCAGTGCCTTTATTTAACAACAAGGTTGATTGTCCGAAATTTTACAGTAAAGCCAAGGTTACAGAAAAGTCTAGAAAACATATTCAAAAATTCTGATGCTGAAAGTTTTTTTGTTTTGCTGTTCCTACTCCTTCTTATTTTTCCTACTCATTCACAATTTGATGACAAACTATATATTTTGGTGACCTTTTGGTGAAGTCCGAGCCCCGAGTTTTATGATCCTTAAAGTACATTTATTATCCTTATTATTATCATCATTCTATTTTGTTCAACAGACTGTAGTTAAATGTTAAAGGCCTGTTTTCTTTTTAACAGCATTTACATTGTTGTGTTGGTACATTTAAGAATAGGAGTACTTTCTGTCTTTTTTTCAATCCGCAGTATTGTCGAAAGCTCCCCTCTCTGCTGCAGTGCTCCCCTCGGCTCCCCTTCACCCCGACCTCTGGAATCTAAAACCCTCTGCGTCTCATTTGGAGGAAGGGGAGGAAGAGCAGACATGAACAGAGGTGCAGTGGATGGCTGGATGACCTGTTTATTTTGTTAGCTGTGTGCACTGGTGAGAGGATGGTTTTCCAGATGTGTGTGTGTGTGTGTGTGTGTGGGTGAGATGTGTATCCTCTCTTATCATTGGCCTTCACTATCTATCCACATAATCTGCGGACGTTGAACTGAGGATTACTGAGGATTTGTTCACAGCAAAGCGAGCCTCAGTCAAAGTTGTAGATTGTCTTAGCCTGTCTGCAGTAACAGGGAGATAGAAGACGTTGCCTGTGTGGTGTGAAGAAGTGACTCTCCTCGTGCAATGAAAGCCATAGCAGCAAATCCTTCAAGCCTCAAACAGCTTAAAGGCAGAGAGAAAGAGTTAGATTTGTGTACAAAATTAAGTGAAGGGGGCGGGGGTTTGAAAGAAAAGGCACAGGGGGTGTTTCTTGCCCCTCTCTCCCCTTTTTTCTCTCCCTGCCGGTCTCCTTGGTCACACACATGCACACATACCACTGACACACACACACACACAAGTACTGACGAGGGCTCAGTCCTGCTATGGCCACCACGACCAGCGAGGAGGACTCTCCAGTCCCGGCCACCGTAGCACCCCAGCAGCCTGACGTGGAAACTAGCATAGAACCCGACTCAGCGGCAAAGACTGAGCCCAGAGACCCCCGATGTGACAGAGAGGATGAGGAAGAGGAGGAAGGAGGAGGAAGCTCCGGTCTGGGCCAGGAGAATGCAGCAGAGGAGAGTTTGGACCCAGAGTGGATGGAGGAGAGGTTCAGGATTGACAGGAAGAAGCTGGAGACCATGTTGTATGGTAAGTGAAATCATTTTTTAAAAATAATACACTCTATACAGTAATTCCAGGGATCTATAATTAAATGTATGGTTGCAAGCCTAAATACAAAACACATTTTGACTGGTTGTGGTGACATAATAATGCTGGTAATTGCATCAAATTAATATTGTGAGTAATTTAAACTCAAATTTCTGCATTAGTTGATTTAAAACTAAATTCATGTTGAGGCCACTTACTGAAATTGGCTTGATAACTTGATATTTGTCAGGATTTCAAGTCCTCTCCCCTACCTACTTTACACACCTTGTCAATTTCAGATAGACTGGTAAATAAATGTATGTGTTTGATTATGGAGGAAAGCTGATTCCCGTTACGCAGTGTGGCTTGTTGGTTGAACCCAATTTGAAAAGAATGTAAATACAATGTGTTGTATTAACTTTAATTCGCTATTCTTTAGAGTGCACTGTCAGTACTGTACACCTTTGGTTTTCTTCTCACATTCAGCCTTTATAAGCCGCATCTTCTGAAACTTCCTCTGTTTTGGTGCCCATCATACCCTCCCTGTGTGCTCCTCATGGCCCTTGTTATCTACCTGACCCTGTGTGTCTGTCAGGGCCTCCAGCTGGCTGCGCCCTTGTTGTCCCCATCAGTAACTGCCATCCACTAAACTCCTGTTGCTGTATCATCGTGATTTATGACCCGCATTGGCTTATGCATTCAGAAGTCCTTTTCGCTATTATCATTCCTGTCTGGGAAGCAGAGGTAACTGCCTCTGTTAGTTATCGCTCCTTGGCAGGTTTATGACAAATGCCTCCCCTGTGTCACTGGGGAAACTCTTCCTGACAGTGCGCTACTGCTGCAGATAGAGGCTGATGTTTGCTGTTGATGGGGAAGGGCTTGAACGAATCCAGCTCTGATAACTGTGGGTTGTTTTAATGCGTGTGCAGCTGGGACTGTGCTTTTGCGGCTGTTAGAGCAGCCTCAGTCAGGCAGTAAATGTTGTATCTCATCCCTCGAGGTAATAATCTGTCACACTGCATTTGAGACTTCTCTCTGATTTCTCCGTCTTGGTTTTGCAGTTGTTCTTTAATTTTTTGGTATAGTGGGAGGTCTTTGCGTCATCAAATGCCACTGATGTGATTAGCTGTCTCTAGGCTAATTTGTGGTTGCCTTCTCCAACCACCACCTTCTTGCTCCACCCCATACTGTTCTCTTCCCATTCCTCGGCTCCGGCCAGCGTAACCCGTAGTGATGAGGGGGGGCGAGGGCGTTCCTGGGGCTCCTCCTGAACCCTGTAAATGTCACCATGGAGCAATGGCCTTTTAAAAATGTTTATGTTCCCAGCAACCTCTTGTTCAACTCGCTGGGCAAATTTCAGCCAGTCAACAGTCAGATGTTGACTTTGTACACAAATGCTTAATATTGAAAACTTTGGCCGTAAACAGAAATACATAGTGCTGCTGACCGACCCAACCGGACAAATCACACAGCATGATTGTTCATTTTAATCCATCCGTTGTTGATGTTTGCCCACTGTGTCACTTTCAGCTCCGAAGCACGAAGACGGTGAGACAGGAGAGGAGTTTTTTGAGAGAGTAAGTAAAAGTCTTCACATCAAAGTATTTTATTTATTAACCAAAAGATGAAACAACAATAAAAATTCAGCTGCTCTCCTGGGTGAAAAATACCTATAATCATCCATGCTTAAAGTTTCCTGGTTAAATGTAGCTTAGAGATGAGTGAGAGCGTTTCTGCTACAATTTGTTTCATGCTCTCCACCCAGTGATTACAGGTTTATGGAGGTGATAATTGCATCCTTTGAAATGCAAATGAGGCTTTGTATTCTTAGATCAGTGAGATCAGCTGTGTGTCTGTTCTGCTTGTATGTGTTAGGATGTGTGTTAGGATGTGTGTGTGTGTGGTTGTGTGCATCTTTGTGCATACAGTGACAGCTCCTCCTTTGTTGCCTCCCCTCTCCTATTGTTTGTGCTTCCGCAGGTAATGAGAGAAACTAACACTCAGGTGAAATGGCCATCCAAGCTGAAGATAGGAGCCAAGTCAAAAAAAGGTGACAAATTCTTCATTTCTCATGCCTCACGAAAGCTGTGCTCTTAGTTTTGCGAGACTGATTTACCGTGACTGCAACATACTAAAATTCATGGCAATAAAACTCATGTTTCCATCCAGATCCACATGTGAAGGTGGAAGGGAAGAGAGCCAATGTTGTGGAAGCCAAAAAAAAGATACTAGAAGTGCTGGAAACCAGGGTGAGAGTTCTTTTTTTTCCAAAAAGAAGTGTCAACAATGTATAGATCAATGCTTCTTACACTGCTGCTGCCTCCCCCCCCAAAAGAAGTTATTTGATTCTGATGTAAAATAAGTAAATGTTTTGGTGTTGTTTCTCTATTATGAATGTATGAAAGCAAGTATTGAAAACTGCTCTAATAACCCCAGTGTTTTATATTTACTATAGGTAAACAAGGTGACTCTGAAAATGGACGTGGCGTATACAGAGCACTCCCATGTGATTGGAAAAGGTGGTGGAAACATCAAAAAGGTGATGGAAGTCACATCCTGTCACATCCACTTCCCTGACTCCAACCGCCACAACGCTAATGGGGAGAAAAGCAACCAGGTAACAACCTCTATGGCAGCATTTTAGTGGGTCACTAACTGCTGCTATGGCAGGAAATTGAAAACAAATTCAGTTACATTTTATTGTTTTTTTTTCTCATTTTTTCCCAGGTCTCTATAGCTGGGCCCATAGAGGGGGTGGAGGAAGCCAGGAGGAGGATAAGAGTGAGTGGTCAATGTATAATCCGGACAGAGAGATTTTTATTAGTCTCAACACTCAATTTCTTCTTCACTCCTGTCAGACACAAAGATCAATAGAGTGATTAATAGGATGGCTGACACAAGGGAGACAGGTATATTTGTCAAAATTCCGCCTGTCTGCAGCTGTCTGTCTTTGTTCGTCTTTCATCTCTTCATCTATCCCTCCCCTCTGTGTCTCCTGTCCATCACACTCTTTCTCTTCTCGTCCCAGGACCTCCAGCCACTTTCCTTGACCTTTGACCTGCCAGTCAGCCTGGTGCCTCAGGCTCTGCCAGATGCAGGATCCCCTCTCATCCAGCAGGTGGTGCAGACTCTGGGGGTCAGTGTGAGCTTCAGGGCTGTGCCACCTCAGCCTCAAGCCCAGACTCCCTTTTACGGAAGCTGCTGCACCGTCTGGGGGCTGCAGGGCAACGCAACTGCTGTCAAGGTCAGCATGATGTCGCCTGATGTGGGTTTGTTAGGACAGATGTTGATACTGATTATTTTATGTGCAATATTCCGATTTTATGTGCAATATTTCAGTATCGTGTGCAATGTCACTTCACCACTTCAATCTCATTGCCAGTATTACTTTGTACTTTTCTATTCTAGTCTTATTGTAACTTGTTTTTATTTGTCGTACTGCAAGGTACTTTTCTAATAGGCATTGCTTTTATTCTCAAGGTATTGTACGTTTTTTGAGCAATATCAAGCACAAGAATTTATGTGGGATTAAAAGTTCTAGCTTATGTTATATTCAGTCTTTTCTTATCAAGAATACTGGCAGAAATCATACATCTTTGCAGTGAAAATGAAAAAGCTGTAAAAGTCTTGGTGTCAAAATTTAAAGTAACAAACTCCAACACAAAACCTGAGTAAAAAGTTTTTGCTTAGTCAACATTTATGAACAATTTAGCTAATGAACAGAGAACATTTCAACATTAATCCTTCAGTGTAGATGGGGTGTTGCTTGTAAAGTGTAATAAATCATTCAGTGCTTTGGACAGCACATTGCGCGAGAATACAGAGTGGTGACTACAGATAAGGAGAGGCAGCTCCACCAAAGTCAAAGTAGTACATTTTTGACTTAACTTTAAAAAATAAAAATAAAAATCAGAAAACAGTTTCATTGCTCTAACCCTACACTCAGAAAAATTCTTAAATTTGTGTTAAATGGAGTCAAAAATGAAAAATGGTTCTTAACCAAAGAAAAAAACATTTGTGGTTTGACACAAAGAACCTTTTGACACAAGGTTCTTGAAAGAGCCATTTTTATAAACGGTTCTTTAAAGAACCTCCAAAGGTGCATCAAAGAACCATCAAAAAAATGTTTCTCTAAACACCATAAATGCTGCTCTAAAGAACTTTAGCAAAAATAGATTCATTAATGAACAATTTTTAAGATAGTTGTGCGCTTGCCTGGTTTTATTTAGATGATAATAACACTTAATAATTGTTTAAGTCATTTTTAAGCAAAACAAGAAAAAGAAAAGAAAAGCCAAATGTAAGAAGTTGCAGCATGTCAGTACTTAATGTCTTAAGTTCTAGACTGTTGGTCAGACAGAAATTGTGCATTTCTCACTGTCTTCTGATGTTTTATAAAGCAGGTGATGAAACGATTAATTGAGAAAATAATCTATTTAATATTCAATGATAAAAAATAACCACTAGTTGGAGCTCTAGTTTTATGCCACCAAAGTAAACAGCACTATTAAGAACTGCATAAAGTCTGTGAAGAACCAATCCTATTGGTGATAAATCTGAAAAAAAAAAAACATTAAAGAAGCATTATTTTTCTCATAGTAGTCCAGACATTTAACATCATACGTTGTCATGTCATTAACATTAACAAGAAGGCGACCTGCATCCTGATGGACCTGCTGCTGGGGTCAGAGGTCACAGCCGGTATCGTGAGCAGCCAGCTGGATGTCACCTCTCAGCAGCATCTCTTCCTGCTGGGACAGAACGGAGCTCACTTCCTGAGCGTTATGCACCAGACACAGACCCAGATCATCCTACCGGACCTCAGTGCTCCTCAGAGTCCTCCCTCGCTGCTCATCCAGGGCAGCCCCGACGGAGTGTGTCTGGCTCGGCAGCAGCTCATGGTACAGTTGGGTGTTTTGGATTTGCTTCGGCAGAACTGTGCAAAACGACAACCCTGAGGGGATGCATGTGTTTGCTTGCAAATATCAAAACTATTTTCTTCTTGTCATTGGTCTGTGTATTAATGTATGATGTATCTGTTTTTGCTGCTTTAATATATAACAAAATTTACCATAAGTTTTAACAAAATCTTTCATTATTTTGTACTCTGTTTGTTATATTTGTGCACACATCTAGGACTGTCTGCCTGTGTGTTTGATGTTTGACATGCGTGAAGATGGGGAGGCAGATCCTTGTAAGCTGGCTCAGATGATGCAAAACCTGGGAGTCTTCATTAGTGTCAAGCCCAAAGTAAAACAGACCAGCAAGGTACATTTCATCCCTGTAGCTTTGCTGCTTATTGTTTGAACCACCATCTGAAAAGAAATGGTAATTTTGTTGTTTTGTTGGGCTGCCAGTGCCACCTTTAAAATTCACATCCAGTCTAAGACAACAATATGTCATTTGTGATTGCCTGTTTCATACAAACTGGATTAAATATCTACTGAAAGATTTCATAAATGATCACAGTTTGGACTTAAGACTATTCTCCTCTGTAGTTCCATATGCAGGTTGAATACTGATGAAACAGTTTGTATTGGTGTCTGTTTATCAGTCTGTGGTGGTGAAGGGCCTGGAGAGAAACATCTCATGCCTTTATGAGGCCCGGTGTTTGCTCCTCGGGCTGGATTCCTGTGAGAGTGCCAAGGTAACTGAAATGACCCCTGACCCCATCATGGCCAGCAGTGGAATGACCAACTACTGGCTCAACATGTTACTGCAGCAGCTTCGCCTTTCTGAGCAGGGTGAGCATGCACACATATGAACTTGTGTAAATGTGTTTTCATGTAAATATTATTGCAAAGCCACAACTACATATTTACAACTTTGGCAAAAAAAAATAAATGCATAAAGACACATTTTGGCTCAGAGTAAAAGAAAAAGTGAATAAAAGAAACTTCATGTTCTGAAATATTCTGGATCTTGAAACGGGAAGGATACATGTTAGGACCAGCAATCTTCTGGAAGTAAATGCAGATTTTAGCGTTGCGCTTTACAGTATACCAACATATGTTACTTCATGAAGAGATTTAATTAATCAATTAATTTATCTGTCCACAAAACAGTGAGGTCGTTTGATGTGGTACATTGATGTTGGGTTTTATTTTGAAGGAAGTTTAGAGACATTTAGACAATCAGGGCGGCAACAATTTCATATCACAAAATACTGTTTTGTGCACACTTTGTTCACTGTTATGACAATATTTCCATGTATCTCTGCTTATCATCAAAGATTATTGTAGTGTTTTTAGAATTTCTGGAATCTCTCTTCATGTTTTCTTTAACACCAGAAGATTTAAACTTTTTGTTGCTGAGTTGTCCCTTTTTTCCCTTTAATTCAGTACATATTAGTGTTTATTCTTCTTCTTGTTCTTCTTGTTCTTGTTCTTCTTGTTCTTGTTCTTCTTCTTCTTATTATTATTATTATGTCCTCTCTTGCCGATCAGGCACTGCACCTGCTCCAACTACAGAGGTGCTACCTGGTACGAAGCCCCGTCCCTTCCCTCCACCAGGCCTCACCTCTCCCACCGAGGAGGGGAGGACAGGACTAAAAGGAACAGATGGTCGGCCGCTGGAGAAGGTTAGTGTTTACAATTAATTCTTTTTGATAGAAAATCATCCATAGAAACTAAAACTGACTTCTGTCCTCTTCCTCAGATCCTTGAAAATGAGGACCAGTCTGGCCAATCAGAGGACGAGAGCTCTGAGGTCATCCTGATGTCACCATCTGAGGTGTGTGATGCAGTGAACAGCAGCATCAGCAGGGTGGGGTTGAATGTCCGGAGGGGGAGTCTCCAGGGTCCTGAAATCGCCAAGGTTTTCAGCCAAGTGAGACGCCATTCGACAGGGCAGGCCCTCACATACAGGTGAGCATTCAGACCCAAAAATACAAAATACAATACTTAAAAAAAAAAAAAAGTGATATCTTTCCTTAATCTTAAACCTAATCTAATTCTAAGCTAAACAAAAATCTAAAACCAGAGTCGTAACTTCAAAAAACAACCTTATGGAAACTGAAAAGTTGCAGGTGAGTCCTTGCAGTGACTTTGAACAGACTTTTACCTCCTGCAATGTGATTAATAAAGGTGCAGAAACACACACACCTGCATGTGCCAGATTTGTCAAGAATCTACAGATCTTGCAAACACAGAAAACTGCGTTAGACAAAAGAAAGCTCGTTGTCCTCATACATACCTGCTTTTTGCTTAGTCTCTTATTTTGCTCTTTTGTAGTTCTCTGGATGAGAAACTTTGTTGATCCGAGCAGTTTTAATGAATCAGCTCTCGTTAAATGTACTCTATGTTTATACAGCATCATAATGCTGTGTTTGAAAACTGCTGCTGTCAGGGGAAAGAAAGAGTTAATAAACCCTAAACAGCCATCACCGTTTCACCTAACCTTGTCTTACCATCTGTGTGTGTGTTCGTCTCCTGAATATGGCAGATTCCTGAACGCAGAGATGGAGGGAGGGAGGAGTGAGCGGAGGAACAGCCTGAGGAGAGACGTGACTCTGGCTCAAAATGCTTGCGCTGACTCATCCAAGGCTGAGGTGAAGAAAAACTGGAATTGCAAATATCTCTCTCTTTTTTTCTTTTTTTTTTGTCTGTCTCCTTACAAACTCATGCACTGCTTCTATGGACAAACTTTTGGTCATCAGTAATTCTCTGCGGACATGCAATTAAATCTCTGTAATCCCTGTAGGACAACGTGTGAGTGACAAGACAAGATGTTCATTTTATGCCTTCTCTAGACGACAAGTTTTTATTTTCAGTGGAACATATTTTATTCGTGGTGTTATGTAATCTATCGATTTGCACATCCCTGACCCCGGTGAAATGTGATTTTGAGAGCTGACTTCTGTGTTTGTTTCCTTCCCCTCTTATTTGTCATCTCTCATGCTCAGAGGTTACTGCAAGGAAGATTAACAAGTTTACAGCCAAAGCAGCAGGAAGAGTTGTTTCATGCGAGTGTTTGTCCCCGCTGTAAATTAGATTTCCGCTGCCTATCCTCAGTAACCAAAGAAAAAAAAAAATTCAATTTCATGCATTATTTACCTACTCTGTTTCCTGTTTGTGCTTTGTAGGATTACGACTATGAGAAGAAGAAACTGCTGGCAACCAGAGGTTAGTGCTCCTAAATGTTTAATATGTCTCTCTGTCTCGCTGTGGTTTCAGAAATGTTCTGCAGCAGCAATTAGAGCACTGCTAAGGAAGAATTCACTTTCTTTTTGTATTGATTTATAGCTGCTGTTCTGGAGATAAATATATTAAAATACATTTTGCAGAGGAAGTTGGCACCCGAATTCTTAGGGTAAACTGTTGTTTTGCTTGTGAGAACCTCCACTTTTATGCAGCCAAGCTGTTGTTTTTGGAGCTGAAGAGGACACAGATTGCAAATCTTTTCATCTAATCTCAAGAAACAACACTTTGTCAGTGTAATAATTTAGTTTGCTCTAAAGGTACACCTGTTTTGGTCATATCAGTGTCCGAAAAGATTTAAGGTCATGTGATTAAGCCCAGTGAAGTAGGCTTTTATGTGTTTATTCAAATATGTTACGGAAGCAACACATTAATATCCAAAGCAGAGGAGGGGATTTGATAGAGGAGGCCCATTTCAGCAATGCTCTCTGCCAAGACAACTGATGAAGGGGACCTGTTTATGGTGCTGCACTGTGCCAGAGTTATAATAGAGTAGCTCTGGCACTCCCACTTAATTCACACGGGGTGGATACACAATGCAGACGACACACACGCGCATCCAGAAGCGGTGTGTGCGCCCCCATACACAGGCACACACATGCGTGGACACACACGTAGCAAAACGCACCTCATCCATCATAAAGAATGAGAGATACTGAAGAGATCTGCAGCCAAATGGTACCAAATTCCCTCTGTGTTGCTTTATGGGATTATGAATTAGCAGTTTGAATGGGCCATCTGCCTCACAGTCATTAAGACACCCATATGCCAGTATATGAATGGGACATTTATTCGCACAGATACACACATGCACACACAAATGACAACCCACCAGTAATAACCCTGTTGATATTGCACTCTTTGTGGAGTGCTGTTACAGTTTTTATTACACATTCACGCATGGAACTGGGCCCAGGGTCACTTGTTTACCATTTGAGTGTGTATAGTCGTCTAAGTCTCAGCAATTTGAGGTTTATTAAGTGTGCCACAGGCTGACGGGGAGTCGCACTGTGTGAGCCATCGTTTAACACACGAACCCAGCTTGTTCAATTCAGAATATCAAAGGAAAAATCTGCAGAGCATTTTCATAAAGGACAGACAGCGGATATGAGTATTGATGCGTGCTACAGAAAGCATCAGTGTGAATCTGAAACTATTTCAAGTGCATGTGTTTCTGTACAGCTCTCTGCAAAGTGTCTCCTTATTCAAATTGTTACCCTTAACAATGCTGCAGTCAATATTTTTTACATTAACCATGGAACTAATTACATTTATGTGGAAGGTGTCAAACAAAATGATTATAACAATAAACCCTATTGAGGACTTCTGGGGTCTTTTGGACCCCAGGCCATTTGTTTAGGTGACAGGGATTGTTTTTTATTTTTGAAGATCAATTTTTTTTATATAAAAAGAGGGACGTTTGTCATGCATTTGCAACCAAACATACGTCAATTTATCAGGAAAGTCATTTTATATCGTATAAAAGTCTATATTGAATACCAACAAATATTTTGCACATATTCTTTCTTTTACATATGACAAAATGAGAGTCCTGAATAGGGTTAATGTGGAAATCAGCAGCTGTTGCTAACATGTCATGTGTTGTGCTGGCAAGAAAAGTCTGTATTTTCCTTCTGTGTGTTTGTATGTACTGATTTCAGCCATGCAGAGGAAGCCTGTGGTCACAGAGGTCCGAACACCTACAGACACTTGGAGCGGCCTTGGCTTCTCCAAGTCTATGCCTGCTGAGGCTGTCAAAGAGCTTCGCAACATCAGCCGACGCAACTACAAACCCTACCTGAGCAGCAGCAATACCCAGCAGCAGGTACAAATGAGCTTAAAGCTAACTCACTGCCTATTTTAAACTTAACAAAAATGGACTCTAAGTTATTGTTTGGTTCATTTTGACTGTTTTTTTTTTAGAGCTGCTTTACAGTTTCATAGTCGTTTGTTTGTAGTTGTAGCTACTTTTGCTGAAGTGAATTCTTCTGAAGCAGTTTTTTTGTTCCAATGCAGTGAAACAAGCTTCCCCACCGTGGCCCACTAACACAGTCTCCTTTATTGGTATTGCCCTCTAACAGTTTGAAGCATTTATCTCACTGTGTGGTAAGCACTGCCAATTTGTACGCTCAATTACCTGGGGTCTGATACCATCGCCACGGTCAACACAGCCACTCCTGGCAACCTGTTTACCTGAGCTGTTTCAGCTCATCTCCCCCGCTCTTTTAGAGCGTTGTGAACGGCTGCTCTCTGACTGCCCAGCAGCCAGTGATGGAGAGGCAGGCTCACTTAGGATAATAAGAGCAAGAGGCATTCGAGTTCAATTTTCCTCTGCGACACAGGCGACTGGGAGGAAGCATTCGCTGCGCTCATTGCATTGATAATCTCGAGTGGGAGACTTCTACAGTCACAGGTCAGCCCACAGGGGCAAATGAGCTGCTTTAGAAACATGACAAATGGCCTTTCTCATTAGAGTTTGTGACCATTTGCAGACGTTTTTTCTTCATGATTTCTAGGAAAGATAGAGAGGGGAGATGAAAAGATGGGATGGTGACAGAAGTACAAGGTGCTGCGACTGTGTGAAATGTTCGCAGATGAAAGAGACGTTAATATTTAATGCTGTCAGTGTTTCTGTCTCCGTCTAGTCTTGGGCTGCTCAGACAGGAAAGCTGTGTAATGGCAGCGACTCGGTGAACTGGAGGGACAGACGTGGATCCACGTCTTCAACCCTGCCTGCTTCTTCCTCCTCCCCCTCTTCCTCATCCTCATCCTCCCCCTCCTCACCCCCGTCTGCCTTCTCCTCATCCACCTCCTCCTTTCCTGCGTTTGCATCTTCAGTGAGCAGGAGCAGAACTGACAAACCCTGTGAGTCTTACCTGTGTGTGCTTTTAAGAGTGAATCCCTGTTTGTCCTTTTCTCTTTGTCTCTTTCTCTTGCTGCCACTTCTAACCGTTTACTCTGAACTTTGATGTCTAGTGGAGAGCTTTGTGAGCACCAGCAGCTACTTTGAAGGTGCGTGCTCGTCGAGGAGGGCGTCAACCTGCAGTCAGCGGAGCCCCTCCCCCCACATGACGGATGACCTACCTGAGCTGCTCAGCCAACTTGGCCTGATCAAATACATCGATGTGTTTGAACAGCAGGAGGTAAACACAAGTACAGTGTTGCAATTGATAATTTTGCGAGTAAAACACAGTATTTTAGGCTCGAGTAGTCATCACTTAAACTTGCATCACTGTGGTTGTAACTTCAGGTTATCAGTGCGGAAGCCCAAAACACACAGACGCAAACAAGCACACAAACTCTCATAAGAGTTATGCATTATAAATGAGCTTCATGATGCAACCACTTCTCATTCTCATCCAGATTGACTACCACACATTCCTCACTCTGTCTGATGAAGATCTGAAGGAAGTGGGTGTCTCCACCTTTGGAGCCAGACGGAAGATGTTATTAGCAATCTCAGGTGAGAATCTGATGTCCCAGCTTAGAGTCATATCTGCTTTTCCATCTGGTGAAGGTGGTTGTCTGCACCTGTCTCCTCTTGTGAGAATGATTAAGCTCCTTAACCTCTGATCCAGATCTGAACAAAAGCAAGAGGAGGCTCTCGGATACTCCTGCTGTAAAGCCTGGCTACCTGGAAGGCGGTGCTAGTGGTAGACTTCCAAGAATCATGGATGTGGAAGTTGCAGCTCAGAGTAACCGCTGGTGAAAGAAGACACCGACCAGCTCTGAGCTCCATCTGACCAGTGTGGCGATATCTGACTTCTAAAAGTATGCAGTGACTGTTGCCAGTATGAAACGTCTTTTCTGCCTATTATTTAACAAAAATGAAGAAGCCCGAAAGAGTGACAAAAACATTTAAATCCAGTGCCTTTCTTAAACAGCCATAACCCAAAGCTTTTTATTTTTCTAAGAATGCAATACAAGGAGGACTTCCCTTCAAAATGTGCACATTTACAAGAAACAAACTACTTAAAACACAAGTGAACACGAAAACATGTTGATTGAAGTTCTTTGTGGCGACGGTTATTGTCATGAAGTGCCTTTCTCAAGAAAACTCTGTGCTTTGTTACCATGTTAACCACTTCTTTTATGCAATTGCAAATAGATATTTACAGAAGAAAATGACATTGCAATATGACAGTAAAGATAATTAAAAGGTTGCTATGGAAGTTTGTTGATTCAGGCTCAGTTTTCTTTGAATTTATGCTTTTTTTTTGGAGAGTAGACATGAGAGCAGAGACAGGAAACTGACGAATGATGTGCAAAAAAGATCCAGAGCCAGACTCATTCCAGGGGCATTGCAATTATATGGTCAGCGCCATAAATCCATAAGCCACCAGGGAGCCCTTCAAGGCAACATTTTTGGGGTCAGAATCTCTTGAAACCAGCTGTATCGTGAACTAGTCCTCTCCTCTAGAGCTGGGAGCAAACCACCAGAGGGCACTGGTGTCACACACTGTCTTTACAAATTCAAGTCACATTTGTGTTGCATTAAAAATAATGAACTCGTTTCACTGTGACAACAGCATCAAGTCCTGGTGGACAAGGTGGAGTTAGCTTTGAAATATACAGTAGCAACAATCTGATAAGGAAAAATGAATTAGAAAACCCAAATAGGTAAATAAATGCATTTGTCTGAGGGTAATATGACATTCTTTTTAATGTGCTTTGCTCTCTCTTGACTCCTCACCTGCAAGTCCCAATTTAATTTATCACTTCTGTCAGGAAGGAAGCCACTGCAACCACTTTTGTTACCTGTTTAATTTATTAGCTGGAGGCTGCACCCAGCAAATTAGTGCTGTCAGAGAGACCTCACTGGCAGGAATTTGCAAATTTGCGATAGTGTTGCTGGTTACCACATGGAAGTGAATGATCCAAGATACCTCCGCTGGGGGGCATGAGGGGGGTCTGATCTGTCCACAGGCTCCACATGCTGGCTGGTGCAGTGGCAGCCAAGCATGAAAGAGAGTGTGAGTGGAAGTGGTGGGCTGTGACAGATTAGGGAGAGATGATCCCTACTTATTACAATGTCTGTGCCAATTACATAGGCAGGCTTTAGACCAGTGATCCTCAAATCTGGTCCTGGGGCTCTGGAGCACTGCTGGATTTCTATCCTGTCAGGTAGTTAATTTCACTCCCTCGGGGTTTCGGGTCTAAATCGGTCCTTGATCACACTGCTAGAATGAGAACTACCTGGAAAAAAAACGAGCACTGCTCTGAACCCCGAGGACTTTGGAGAGCTACTAGGACTTTTTACCTGCAAAGTGCCAATCTTGGCTCTTGGCCCAGGTACATCGAAGATATGCAAAATGAAGCTGTAGCAGACTCCATTTGCAGCTTGTCCTTTTTTTACTGAAGTCTGGTCTAGTACTGTTCTTAACTTTGCAGTATTAATAAGATATAGTACACTGCAACTTTATATGGATTCGAGTGGGTGAGGCCAAGACATTGATCAGGGTGGTGTATCAGGTTGTTCCTCATTTCCTCGCACACAGTCCATCAATATATGACTTATAAATAAATATGGATACTATGTAAATAAAACTAAATAAATCTTTTTAGTAAGTTCTAACAAAATGCAACATTTGATCTGATATGAGAAGTTTGTCAGCTTCATCACAATTAAAATCTGCTGCACAGCTCTTCTCCAGTATCATGTGTTATACACCAGATATTTTCAGCTTTCATGGAGTTGGTGTCTCAGGTTGTTCTTAGTTTCTTTATCTAGTCCATTGATCGGTCACACTGTCATTGATATTTTTTTTTATAAATGATTCTATGCATTAAAGGAATATTGGTTGCTATTTTGGAAGATGTGCTTTTTATTTTCCTTCCAAGAGTTAAAATGAATTGATCTTATCTGATCTGCCTGTTAAATATAAGGCTACAGTGAATTTAACCAAGGTTAGTACAAACTAGGGCAAACAGCTAGTTGGGCTCTGTTCAAAGTCACCATACAAGCAGCTTTAAAGCTTAGCAGTTACCACAAAAACAGTGGGAAGAAACAAGCTGGGGTGTTACAACGTTCATGTGCTGAAACTGGGTTTAGAAAGTTGTGTGGATGAGGCAACATGTGTTAGTAGGTGTGTTTTGCGATGAACTATGATAATTTACCAATCTTTAGAATTAATCATGAGGCCTAAAAGACACATCCGTCTAAAAACTAACTTATAAGTAGAGCAAAAAACAACCTCTAATAAACGACAAACTCGACCAAGCTGCTCCCTTTAGTCGCAAAAATTCTAACCAATTGTATGAAGCGCCACTTGTAGCCATCACTAGTCTCCATAGAGACCCTGGGTTGAGGGGAGGATCCACCCGACAGGGAAGCCATCTGTGGATAATAAAGAAGCAGCAAATAGAGGAATGAAACAGAGCAATGAAGTGCCCTGAGGATAAAACACAACCACGCATCCCCCTTACTGAGATGAAGATGGAACTCAGTCGAGGAGAGTGAGTGGGAGAGCGGAGCAAAATAGAAACAATAATGAGACTGTGTATATGTGTGTGAGTGCTGCTGTGTATTATGTGTGTCTCGTCTTAGCTGGAGTCAATAAATGAGCCGCTGTGCGAGCAAAAAATATGCTTATGGGATTTGGGATTGTGATTATTCGAATATACTCATTGTATTGTTTGCCCCATGACACCTTGTCTGCTGTCACTTCTGGTCACTGCTGTCTCTGAACTGGCAACAGTTAATGATATTCTACAGGTGCTTGCACAGAGCTGGTTCACTTTGCTGGTGCTATATTTATGTACAGAGAAGAACGTTATTTATCTTCTTATCTACTTTCAATATAGAAGACAATAAAATGCATCAACCAAAATATCGAAGTTGTCCTCAAAGGTATAAAAAGGCTGTTATCACGTACTTAAAAAGATTATGTGAAAGGAACAACGTTAACTCACATAAGACTTGGCAAGGTATTACCAGTGGTGAAAAAAAGGATTCAGGTCCTTTACTTAAGTCAAAGGACTGATGCAGCAATGTTAAAATAATAAAAGTACTACACAACAGTACACATACTAAAGCATAGGCAGCATAACTCTGTTAAAAGAACAAAGTAAAAGTACTAGTTGGGTTCCTCTGGCTGATATTTTATACAGTATTTGGCATAATCAGAAACTACTTTGAATTACTTTAGAATACAGTTTTATATACAGAGACAGCATACCAGTGTGAGAGCCTGTCAGACGATTAATAGGAGAGGGAAGAAGAAAAAACAAAGATGTGATTCACAAATCTATTTTCAGTTTCTAATATTTGACTTTTGGTGGGATGTTAGATCATTTACACATTTATTGAAATGAAATGATGTGAAAAGTTTAGCAGAAAAAAATCACTTTTTGGTGGAGCTGTTAACATCCCATTGACATTTGAAATGTGACTCTGACTTCACACTGCTTTTTGGAAGAAGTCAGAACCATTGGATTAATCTTTAATATGGTTTTCAATTTCCAAAATGTGTTTTTAATCCACTATGCAAAATCTGAAAAGCAATTAAAGCTATCAAATAAGTCAGTAAACAAGAAGCAGCACAAAATGGAAATGCTCAAGTAAAGTACATGTACCTCTAGGTTGTGCTAATGTATAGTACTTGAGTAAACGCACTTAGTTGTATCCAACAACTAGGTATTTTGAGACCAGGAATAAGAGGATACAATGCAAAAAAACAGAAAAAGAAAAGAAATTGAAGTGTATGTGATGAAAAAATTAGCATATGGGACATTTTTCTAGCAACTTTTGTTATAAACCCTTACAACTTTCGATTATTCTTCACTTTTCACAGCTTCTGACATAATTTGATGTACATTAAGCCCATTGTCTCTTCTCCCTGATGACATGTTGTGAACTGCTGAACAGGCTTTTTCAAGCCAGAAGATTCGGTTGTACTTTTAGCCTCCAATTGTTGTTACAATGTGTTTTCAAAGTGCTGAGCACGCTGTTTCGAGCCAGTGGGGTCAGCTGTCCCATTAGCCAGTGATATTACAAAAACACTCATTAAGCTTTTATGTTCTTTTGGGCACTGCTGGCTTTGTGATTCTCCTTTCTCAAAGGCAAGTGATAAGAGTGTTCTCTGCTGCTACCATTTATGTCTGCTTCTAACAGGGGGACGCTGCTTTCTCAAGGTTGGAAAAGGTCAGAATTGATGGAGGGCTTTGATTGTTGTGCTGCAGAGAAATCCGGGCTTCAGAGGAAAAATAAAACCAAGAAGAAGAAACTCATATGCATAAACGTGTTTGTGGTTTCAAAGTGAAGCAAGACATGTGTTTTTATTCATCATTTTTTCATCATGATTTGGTGAAATAGGATGAAATATGTGAGGCTTGCGCTGCAAATGGACCATTGGGAGAACAAGAGACACATGGACACAGACCTGTAAGGTTCAAAAGACACTCAAAGTGCCACTTTACTTAAATTTTCAAAGTTACAAAGAAAAGTTCACGTAGTTGACATGGTGAAGATTTCAATTTCAAATCACTGAACATATCCAATGTTGGGAGGCAGAACAGAGCCTCTTCTCTGCTTGACTTCATGTGTCCTCCCAGCTCAGGAGCAGCTTCTTCCTCTAGTGTCCATGCACAGTCAAAAAGCCTCAGCAGCCCTACTGACCAATTAGTAAAAGAATAGCTGGCTGAGACACCACAGATTTGGTCTGTAGGCCTTGCAGTTCGCTGTTCTACACTGCTATCGTTCTGCAATGCAACTTCCTACCTCCTGAGATTGGGAGAAGAACCAAAAAGACACTAGACAGCATCAACATAGCAACAAAGTATTGTAGCAGCCAAATAGGCATCACTTTCTGTTTGAGATGCATAGAGCTAGACCTGGCCAAGTAAATCTCTCTTTTACAGAAACACGATGAGAAACATGCAACAACAACGACAATACATCATTAATCTCATTGCTTCCTGGGCTTTCTCGAACATTCAAGATCAACAATTAAATAATTTACAATCCTCCATGAAATAACAGAGAGTGGGAGCATCTCAGAGCCTGGAACTGTGGCAGCAAATTTTGCGGAAACATTGTTGAACACTGGAAGGAGCCCGACGGTGGAACACAGAACATGAGAATGAACCGCTGATGGAACAACAGGGAAGGTAATCCACAATCTGGCCTCCCTGGAGGAAACATATTTACATCCAATACATCAGCT